TAGAATGTTTGGGAAAAGGGTGCCATTTTGCGATGGTTTCGGCTTGTGCTCACCGGGAAGGTGGTGTCCGAGCAGGCGGAGATGCGCCGGGGACATGCCGTCGCTGGGATTTGCCGAAAGTCTTGGCAAGGAGCTCCTGAAGATCCTAGTGCGGCACGTGAACCTAGTAAGCTTAGCTGCAAAGCTGTCGCTGGGCAAGGTCTCAGACAACCCGTTCAGTTCGGAAGTGTTGGCTGAAGGACGTGAGCTTCTTTTTACTGCGTTGGAATATGCCGGGGCCAAGCTCCCGGTGAGGGAGCGGACGGAGGGGCAGCCCTTTTACCTGGCGGCGATGGAGGAGCTGCTCCGCCTTTCCGGCGATCCTGACAGCAGAGTTTTCTTTTCTTCCAGTGTGTCTTTCGCAAAGGGTGTGCGTCTGGGGCCTGGGGTGTGCTTACCGCGGGTGCCTTCGGTCTTTGAGAAAAAGGAGAAGTGGCGGAAATATGATAGTGGGTTCTGCGAGCCTGGAGCTGAGCGGGAAAACTATTTGTCTGCAAGGGAGCACGCGGGCGAAGTCCAACAGCAGTTCCAGGCGGAGGCAGCGCTGGGTGCAATGGTCGAGGTGACCACGGCAGAGGCCCGAGCGCAATTTGGAAAGCAGCTAGCTGTTGCTTCCTTGGGCGCGCTCGAAGAGAAGGATGGCACGTATCGAGTCGTGCACGACGGCACCATCACAGTGAATTCTGCAATTCGGGTGCGTGACCAAATACGCTCACCGGGTGCTGGCGAGCTTCGCGCTGCGCTCCAAGAGCTACCTGGGCAATGCTTTGGATTGACTGGAGATGTGGAGCGTGCGCATAGGCTCGTGAAGATCGCAGCGGCCGACTGGGGGTTGCAAGCGTGCAAAACTGGTGTTGGTGGAAGTGACAAGCTCTGGTTGAATAAAGTGGGTACATTTTTAATTTCGAGTGCAGCATACCACTGGTCACGATTAATGTCGGGACTCGGCCGTGCAGCTTTCTACTTGCTTGGGAAAAGGGAGATCTTCATGCTTGTCTATGTAGATGACCTCTTGTGGCTGGCGCACAACGACAAAGATAGTGTGCAGATGGTGTGCCTGGTAATCTTTTTCTTTGTGTTACTAGGATTGCCCTTTTCTTGGCGGAAGTTCAAGGGAGGGGGTGAGTTCTGTTGGGTAGGGCTTGAATTAAATCTGAGAGAAAGCAAGCTCGGACTGTCTGTGCAGCGTGCCCAGTGGCTTATACAATGGCTACTACAATGGCTCACAAAAACAACGGCTGCAGACTGTGTCAAGATTGCGGATGTCAGTGCGGTGCTGGGGCTGTTGTCTTTCGCGCTAACTGCACTTGGGCATCTCAGACCTTTCTTGGGGCCAGTTTACGCGTGGGTAGCCTCCTTGGACCATCGTCATGCCTACAAAGTGCCCCGAGCGATCTCCTTGATCTTCAAGTTCCTGGCGAAGGCGTTAGGTGGAGGCGGCAGGCTAACTTCTGCTGGGAAGGCGCACGCCGTCGAAAAGGAGCTCTTCAGAACTGATGCAAAAGCCGAGGGCAACGAAGTCTGGATCGCAGGTTGGGCTCTAGATTCGGAGAACACCAAGCAGTGCAGGTGGTTCTCCGAGCGGCTGGACCATGTTACTGCGCCTTGGGTGTACATGGCTGGCGAAGCTTATCGCCAAATCGCATCGCTGGAGCTTCTAGCAACGCTAGCGGCGGTGATGTTGTTTGGTGTACCACCCGGAGAGGCATGCGGATTCCACTGCTCAGCCGCTACCGACAACAGAGGAAACAGCAACCTCGCGTCGCGGCTTCTGACCACAAAATTCCCTCTGTGCATCTTGCTGATGGAACTTGCCGCGCAGCTTCAAGACAGGGGAGCGGAGCTTAGACTACATTGGCTGCCACGGCTGCAGAACGAGGAGGCGGACTCCCTCACAAATGGCGACTACAGTCGCTTCGATAAGAGACTGCGACTAAGATTTGATTTGCGGTCGTTCCAGGGTTTGGTTTTGCAAGATCTCATGCGCGCAGGAATGGACCTCTATGAGGAAGTGCGTGATTCTCGAGCCCACAAGAAGGCCGAGGGCATTTCAAAGCGTCCCAAGCATTCCTCTTTGCGGACCACGGACCCTTGGCAGTAAAAAAGGTGCGGGGTAGCCATGGGTTTGCCGTGCGCTTGCTCTGCGAGTGGGGGTCCTTTTGTCAGCGCTTGGCTGATGGGGTTTGTCAGCGCGCGCGGCTGATGTTGGCTATGTAGGTTGTAGCCAGGTGGTCAGTGTAAAGTATTTACAGGCTGGCCGACCTTTCCACCACCTCTTAAGTTGAGTGCAGGGTTCGTGCGAGGTTCTTTTCTGTGTGTTCAGGGTTGGACTCTGTAAGATCCCGCGGGTCGAACCGTAGGGAACCGGAGGGGCGAAAAGAGGGATCTGTGGAGTCCTTGTTGGGTTGTTCTGTTTACTTGCAATTAGGACTTAAACATGTCAGGACACAGAACGTTTGATGTTGCAGCTGTGTGGCCTGAGCACAGTGATCAGAAACCGGGGTAGTCCGGTGTGCAACTGCGGGGGCCGCCCAGAATTTTCGATCTCCCGCCCGCCCTTGCCCGATCGAAACTTTGGGCATGGGGGTCCTTTTGTCAGCGCTTGGCTGATGGGGTTTGTCAGCGCGCGCGGCTGATGTTGGCTATGTAGGTTGTAGCCAGGTGGTCAGTGTAAAGTATTTACAGGCTGGCCGACCTTTCCACCACCTCTTAAAAGAAAAAAGGGGGAGAAGTTGAGTGCAGGGTTCGCGCGAGGTTCTTTTCTGTGTGTTCAGGGTTGGACTCTGTAAGATCCCAAACACATAACCGCAAACACACAACCGCAAACACAACCACAAACACACAACCACAGACGCAACCACAAGCACACAACCACAAACACACAGCCACAAACACACAGCCACAATCACAAACACAAGCACGTATGACAAGAACAGAACCACAAACACACAACCACAAACACACAACCACACCACAAACGCAAACACGTATGACAAGCACAGAACCACAAACACAACCACAAACACACAACCACCAACACACAACCACAAACACAACCACAATCACAATCGCAAACGCAACCACATACACAACCACAAACACACAATCACAAACACGTAACCACAAACACTCAACCACAAACACAACCACAAACACACAACCACAATTACAAACACAAACACTTATGACAAGCACAGAACCACAATCACAAACACAAACACGTATGACAAGCACAGAACCACAAACACACCACAAACACACAACCACAAACACAACCACCAACACACAACCACAAACACACAACAACAAACACACAGCCACAATCACAAACACAAACATGTATGACAAGCACAGAACCACAAACACAACCACAAATACAACCACAAACACACAACCACAAACACGCAACCACAAACACACAACCATAAACACACAACCACAAGCACACACTCACAAACACAACAACCGCAAACACAACAACAAACACACAACTACAAACACAGCCAGGAACACGCAATCACAAACACAAGCGCTGGACCTCAACCACAGCATACAACCACAACCACAATCACAAACACATAACCGCAAACACGCAATCCCAAACACACAACCACAAACACATAACCACAAACACACAACCACAAACACATAACCACAAACACACACTACAAACACAACCACAAACACACAACCACAAACACACAGCCGCAAACACACAACCACAAACACACAACCACAAACACACAACCATAAACACACACACAACCACAAACACACAACCACAATCACAAACACAAACACTTATGACAAGCACAGAACCACAATCACAAACACAAACACGTATGACAAGCACAGAACCACAAACACACAACCACAAACACAACCACCAACACACAACCACAAACAGACAACAACAAACGCACAGCCACAATCACAAACACAAACACGTATGACAAACACCCAGCCACAAACACAATCACAAACACACAGCCACATACACAAACACGTATGACAAGCACAGAACCACAAACACAACCACCAACACACAACCACAACCACAACCACAAACACACAACCACAAACACACAACCACAAACACGCAATCAAACGCACACAACCACAAACACAACCACAAACACCATCACAAACACACAACCACAGTCACAAGCACGCAATGACAAGCAGACAACCACTAACACAACCAGAGCCACAACGACAAAGACGCAACCACAAGCACAACCACAAACACGCAACCACAAACACACAACCACAACCATAACCACAATCACAAACACATAACCACTACTGAAATGATCTGAGTTGTGTTATTAGTTGGGCACAGATCTTCTGATGAAAGCACAAAACAGTAAGACTTGGCGCTGAAGGACTTGTGCTATGGGCTGAAATACACAACGAGGGTGATGTCAACGTGGCTGTTTTGAAATGTCATGGTGGGGATCACTCTTTGTAAAGTAATTTATTTTTTGGCATGGTTTTTCCCAATGCCTGCTTCGAGGTGGAGAAGCTTCGTCGCTTGGTCAGCTTGGCAGGGGAGGCTGGGTAGGACAGCTTTTGTTGGCAGTGAAGGCCGTGAACCGTTGTGGCCTGCTATGTTTTGATCACAGGTTGTCGTGTTCGTGTACTCCTTGTAACTCCCAATTGTACCTTTTAGATCCTTTTAGCTTGGTGCTTCATTCTTGCGACATCCGAAACAAAAAGCATCAGAAATGCAGAGGTTTCCAGCATTGTTTGCCACAGAGAGGCCGGCGGCCCCAAGCCTTGGGTGCCCTTCCTCGTCATGACAAGAGCAGCCCTTGAAATTCAGCACGGCAAAGGACGAGAAACAGAATGTCATGACTGTTGTGGAATGTCAGCAGTGCAGCTTTGCTCGAAACTTTTGTAAAGGGGCCAGGCCAGGTTTGCCGAGTAAGCGACCTTGCCAATGCCCAGTCCAAGGCCCAATGACACACCAGCAAACTGTGGATTTCTTCGAACAGCCTGCATCATAGTCACTTTTGCTCCCTGCATGTATGTGTGCGTCTCGCAAGAGAGTGTTTTCCGGTAAGGCATAGTTTCTTTGGCATGTCTAAAGAGGATGTCCTTGCCTCAGGGTGCTAAAACCACGTCAATCCAATTTTGCATGTATGTGAGCTGTGGGCTGAATGCGGAGATGCCAGAGTAATGAGATGTGCTCAAGGGATTTGTGTTGCCTCCCACCCTCATTGAGCTTTGGTAGGTCTGGTTCTTTCAGCAGGGCACCATGCCATGCCTCACGCCGGAAGGAAAGATCATTCTAGAGTCCGGAGCTTAGATTCAAGAAGTGAATAGACAAAGATGGGCCAAGGGTAGTTGGACTGATTTTCCAAGTCAATCCGATGTATATAATTTTGCAATCCTCAATCCCTTCCAAGGAATTTTTTTCAGAGTTGCGGATCTACTTCACTACTCACATGTTGCTCAGGTCTCCTGGCAACATCGCGTGCAATCCAGATGGAAATGGTGGAGTCTATCCAGTTCTTGGCTCAGCAGGTGGCATGTGGGTTCTCGGTGCCTCGGTGTTACACACTGAGATTTTTCACACTAATATGATTATATACGTATATATAGTGTAAAACACGTTAAAGGAACATTGATGTCATAAATATATACATATAAATTATATAAGCATACACATTATAGCAGCTTCTTCAAAGTGAGCTTTTTGGAGTCCCTAGGTGACCTTTTGCAGGCCGAAGTCACCCTCAAACCAGGGGGTCAAAAGGTCACTTTGCCCTGGCCTTAGGCCTTGAAAAAATCTGGCCTTTTAGACCAGCTCCGCTCTTCTGGCGTGGGGACCACAGGCATTTATTTTTGCTGAGTGGTGCCTACTTGGCAAACCTGGAAGTCAGCAAGTGATAGCGGTGCATGTGTGGAGTGCAGAAATAGGATGACGCTTTTCGGGCCAAGTGGCTCCAAATGGAAAGCCCCGCGACAATTTCATGCTCAGTCGCACGATTCATAGCCATCACTAGTAGGTTGGAGGCCCTCGCTAGCAGGTTGGAGGACATTCACGAAACGGTTTTGCCTTTTGATCGACTTGGTCGAGGTCAAGAGCCTCCATGTCTTCTCGGTGGACAATCCGCTTTGCAGACCAGCAGATCCTCGTTTCGTTGGGTGGGGTGCTTGGAGTTGACGGAGTTTCAGTTGCCTTCAGAGAAGCAAGGTCAGGTAGACCACATCTCCTGTTCCATCATCAGGGTGGCAGAGCATGTAAGAGCTGTTCGAGTGAAACGACAGGTATTGTCTCTCCAAAGCCGCAGACTGTGGAAATAAGTGCGCTATGTCCCCAGTTGAATTTGATGATTTCGGTGTCATGTCGAGCTGATCGGCCCCAGGCCTTGTTTTTGCAGCAGAGAAGCAGTTGCCCGATGTGACAAGGATCTATATACCTGTTGAGGTTTGGAAAGCTTCACCCGACGAAAAGGTTGGAGTCATGGCGAAGAAGGGCGGTCGGCCCAGTGTGGTTGAGTACAGTGTCACTGGCTTGATTAGAGCCGGATCCTGGCACATCGGTGCAAACATTTGCACAAGTCTCAGTGCGAATTCACCGGAAATGAGGCAAGAGTCATAAGAAACAAAGAACACACGCTTCACACAACCGAGACTCCGAGAGTAAACACTACAATGAAGACAACAAACACGACAATGTACAGGTCGAAACTCAAAATAAAAGAAGCACGTTAATGCTATCAAACACTCATCCATTTATTTGTTTTGCTTTTTGCTTGCTTTTACTAGAGTTCCATGCTATTTTCGAGCTTCTTTGCTTGAGGTTTTGGTGAGTTTGGTGTTGCTTTCTTTATGTTCAGCATTGGAGTCATTCATTTTCTATTTTTCTCGGCTTTCGCTTTTCGATTGTTGTATATTAGAATTGTATATTTACTATATATTTGTAATTGTCACGAAAGCACTGCCAAATCCGGCAATCCAAATTGAGACGGTCAGCAAGCAAAAGGTCCATTTGCCGATTCGCCAGGTGAACTGGATGATGCACGCAAGGCACAGCGTGATGCTTCCGGACGGCTAGTCTTCGGTGTCATGGCACCCAGAGTAAGGGGGCGGTGAAGTGGCAAACAGGATGTAATGTTTTGACTGTTCTCAATTACGTTTGTTTCTTCATAGGTGAATGGATAGCCCTCGCTCAGGCTGGAAATATTTGCAACCATTTCTTCTCCGTGGACTTTTTGTTGGATGCCTGGACCTTACGGACCTGAAAGTGGACCGAAGGCTATATGTTGCTTTGGGACTTCTGAATCGACTTTGCCAGTCAGAGGTAATTACATCAAATGTTTGTACATATGGGCAATCAGCAATCATGTTTTCTTGTCAAAGCTACGAGCTATGTCTATGTTCCATGGTCAACTTTAGGACCCAGCACCAGCCCGAAAAAAAAAGAGAGATACAGTGAGGGTGAAAATGGGCGATGGGGCCCACCATGGGCTCTCATGACGCAGGTGGTTGTGCCAAAGATGTCGACCATGTTTCATTTGGCGCATAAGAAGCGCCAAGGCTGCAGTTGAAGGGAGCATGAGGCCCTCTGAAAAGGCGTGAGTCCCCCAGTGTGTTCAGCCCCTGATTGCAAACACTTTCAAAAACTGAACAATCCCAGCGAACCAAATGAGCTCTTAGTCGGAGAGCTCAAATCATGAGGTTTCCCAACCTATGCTCCGAATCCTCCACATTGGGAGATCCAGTGTTTCGCCAAGGATTCCTTATGCGGACGACGAGGGCAAGACTGTCAAACCTGAAAGCAACAACGGTGCGGTAGGGAAAGACGACGCGTGTTGCCATTCTTGCATTGCCTGCCTTCAGACTCGAAATCCTTTCTTGCCATCGAAGCTCACATGTTCAACAACACTCTCAAGGCCACTGTGAGGTCAGCCGTTGTCAAGGTCACCAACTGATAGATGGCCTTGACAGTTCCGCAGCACAATTGGGGGGGGAAGCACTGTAGAAAGCCAGTTTGCAGGTGTCAAGCTTGAAGCATTTATTTTCGATGTCTTCCCAATGAGCAGACGGATCGAGCGGAAGCTCAGTGGACCTGGAGGTGGCAGCAAGGAAAGGCAGAAACTTAGGTGGAAGACAATGCGCTTCCTTCACTCTTTCCATCTCTTTCCCTATGCAGGTGTTGGTCAATGACGCCTATATAAACTCTGTCAGACGAGAGGTCTAAAAGCTTTTGATGAACACATGTAATCTGTAATTGTATATGTAACTATATGCAGCCACGGCTGTTCCGTTTGTCAAAACCTGGGGCTCCAAAGATTTCGGGGGTTGTCCATGCTGATTCGGTCAGTTGAGGCGATCTTGGAGACATTTCGAGAAGAGGAGTTTGCGCCTGTGAAGAATGCACCAGGGACAGCCACCGACAGTAGGAACCCAAGATGGCAGATGCATTTCCAATCATGGGACAAAGCATTTCAAATTGTATAAATAGCGATGGCCTCCAATTTGGGCATGGCGGTATTGAGGCCCATGCCACATGGATATCATGGAACGTTGATCAGCTTTAAGGTCCGGACACTGCAAGACAAATGGTGAATCTCTTATGCCGCTCATGGGTGGAGAAGGCTCATCCTGCCATTCTTGGGCATGATCCTGTAGCCTTGCAAAGAGGGAGTCTGACTGTGTATAGACATAGTTAATAGTTGGCCATCTCAGGCCAGCCAGGAAATTGACAAGGACAACAAAACAGCATTATCATTGCAATGAAGAGGGGTTTTGTGGTTTTGCTCCACTTTGTTCGCAAAGCCGCAAAGCTAACTCCGAAAAAGCGGAGCAAGCGCAGCAGCCACCGTGGAGCATTGCTGCCCTTTGTTTGAGGCAGGTGGCCAAACTGATGGAGATGCTAGTGCAGTGCTGGAGGCACTGAGATGATTGGCGTTTGCACCCCCAACCCCTTTGTCGAACGATTTAAGGGAGATAGGCCTTCTGTGCGATTCGATGCCATGTTCTATTGTGTGTTTCTATTGGGGGGGATGGTATTCTGTAAGTGGCATCTATAAATCCATTGAAGAGTTGGTGGATGAAGATAAGGACGTGTTTGTTGTTCAGCCTTGCTCTACTGTAAGCTTGTTGCAGCCTGCAGATTGCTTTCAAACCATTGAGACTGCTCTTGATGGCCTGGTGGTACTTGTTATGTCGGTATTGCTTGGTAGGAGTGAATTGAAAAGGGTCATTAGGGAAGGTTTGACGTTTGATTGCAATGCTTGCTTGGACATGCTTGGACCCAGTTCGCAGCTGGAAATGGCTTAAGTATGTGCTCCTGCGAAGGTGCAAGTGAGTAAAACCTGCCCTTCCAGGTATCGCCCCTGCTGTCCTACGCAGGGGAGGGCCCACTTCTCAGCGGTCAGAACAGTGGGGCTTGAGGTTTGCATTTGTTTTTCTATTTTAGGCCCTTCAAGTTGATGTTCTCGGATTCAAGCTGCCCTACTTTCCTTCACGTGCCAGGTCTCACGGAGCACGTGGCTGGAAAAACGATCAAGGTTCCATGCAACCTAGGGCCTTAGTTTGGATGATACAATGTGTGCACGTGTAAGCTTGCATTGCATAGGTTACCGTTTGATCAGCACCACAGTCAGTAATTATACATATTTGGCATTTTATGAAACATTATCCATGCTTCACATCGCCGTCAGTATTCCACTTAGACTCAATAGAAGTTTAGAAGTTGCCTAACAGCATACTCACCGGCCCTTCGCCATGTGACCATGGCTTGCTCAGCTAGTTCTCCGACCGTGGCAAGAAAAGGAGAATTAGAAGACTTGGGTGGAGAAGGGCTGGTTCTTTCATGTAGGGTGCATTGGAATGTAGCATGAACTGGAGGAGCACGCAGCAAGTAAATAAGATTTGCTTGTTTTAGATGGCTACCTATGTGCTGGGACGATGTAGAAGAAATGGATCGGATAGTAGCAAAGTGAAGGAATGCAAGGACTCCTGAAGGGACAAGACGGGAGATTCAATTAGAGTGAGCAGTAAAGGAATTGATTTGCACTGCACTACCTTGCTGAAGTGCGCCATTTAATGGCATCCAAGATGAACCGGACACAATCCGATTTCGGCTCAAGGGTTTTAGACAGGCAGGAAGAAGGAACAGGGAGACAGGATAGCACAAGAAGCGCGGCCATGCAGAACGACGAGGCGACAAAGGGATCGGGTTGGTCGTGATTTCGGAACTTGGCAGTGAATGAATGTGGAAGGTGTTTTGGAGTTTGGGCCCACCCTAGTAGGTTGGAGGTCATCGCTCTTAGGTTGGAGGCCATCGCTCTTAGGTTGGAGGCCATCGCCCTTAGGTTGGAAGCCATCGCTACTCAGGTGGAGGCCATCGCTACTAGGGTGGAGGCCATCGCTCTTAGGTTGGAGGGCTTGACTCCAAATTAATGGTTATACTATGTTATACTGTAACTACATTGAATCAGATTATTTGATTACCCCTGGCAGTTCCAGCCCTCCATCAGCGTTTAGCATGTGCATTGCAGGGCCGCATTGTGGACCTTTACTTGCCTCGTTGCTTAGCCGCAACTTGAGTCAGTAACTGAATCGTGGGAGTGCTGCTAATTACTTCTTCAAGAGTTTCAATATGTTTCAATCCTGCGATTCCTGTATTTATTGTAAATTTATCGGAGAGGTTGCTTTGGCCAGCTTGGCTGGTAACAAAGCTGTTTTTTTGTTGTTTGCATTGAATAATTGGTTGTTGATAGGCTTCACTATTCTCACAGCCTGGGGGTAACTCTTCAGGTCCTTCAATCCAGCCGTACCATATGCCATCGACCTTAACATTATTGCTTGTTCACTTTGGGCAGAATATCTCACTCAGGCAAGTGCTCCGCGACGAACCGTTTGATCCCAGCAAAGGAGCATGGTGCAGTCCAGCTCAACGTGGCACAGGCGCGTGTCTTTTTTGCTGTCCTTCCCTAGTAGCGATGGCCTCCACCCTACTTGTAGTAGCGAAGTCAACCTACTAGCGATGATGGCCTCCACCCTAGTAGCGATGGCCTCCACCCTAGTAGCGATGGCCTCCAACCTAATTGCGATGGCCTCCAACCTAATAGCCCACCTTTCGTGAGTGGATTTTTCAGCGTTTGAGGTTGACGAGCAGGGTGTCTACTCGGGCGAATTCCACACCTTTGCGCTGGCGGGCTTCATTCGTCAGCGTGGAGAGAGTGATGCCTGCCTCTTGCCAGCGTTGTGGTGCGACATGGTCATCCCAGAAGCAACATGAATTGAGTGAAAGCTTTGTAGATCAGCTGAGCGAGGCAGCTTTGTAGATCTCGTGAAGCCGTGAAGCCATGCTCCCATTGTATTTTTATATGTTTTTTTTTGGGCATTCTTGGCCAAGGCTTGAACCGCCTGCTGTTCGAATCTTGTTTGACATGGGAGGCGTTGACTCGGCGAAGGCCGAATTGATGACCTGATGTTTTCGAAGCCAGTATTTGCTGGGGAGGGTCTGGTCTGAAACCTTGACACGCGCGATGCCCACAGACAGCCGAGGAGAAGGGAATGTTGACGCTTCTCGCCAAATCTCAGAGCGGCCCACTATCTACATTTGCGGAGCGGTTTTAGAGAGCCTGACAGTCCGAGTTCTCCTTTTGCTTCTCCAGGGCTTTAAGATCTTACGACTTGGCCTCAACCACCCCTTAACAGCAGGTACAGCTTGGACAGGTTTATAGGAATATACGGAAAATATACATAATTACAATGAATTACATAATTTCTGAACTGTTTGTCTCAGCTTCTTCCATTGTGGCCTAGTGACTTCCCTAAGGTTCTCGAAGTGAGAAGCGCAGAAGCCCCCTACAATCGAATCTGCCTGCAAAAAGCAGCTACGGGCCTACGGGCTTGATCGCACAGCATGCAGTTGCCCGGGTGAGGGCCTTCCTAGCTAAGACCAAGGTTCGAACTCTGCAACTTTCAGTTGCTTGTGGTGGAATTTTCGTCCTGTAAGCTTTCGCTCAAGTGTTAGAACTGTTCGATCCTGGAAAATTCTCAACATGGCTCTTCTCTTCGGAGAGAAGCGCCAGGAGACCACACAGACCGGGCGGGAAGCCACTGAGCTGTCTGCTGCGGAAGTTCGCCGCCGTGCTTTGATGCTGGTGGATGTGCTGGTGGAGCACAGCGGTCGGCTGAAGCGGCGCTGGGTTTTTGCCGCGGGTGCGGTGACCTTGTGCTACGTGCGCTACGTTTTGCCCGTGTTGGCTTGCTGGGGTTCAAGGAGATGGGAGCAAAGCGTGGATGCCACCCAATTTGAAGAAACTGTTGGAGGACACAACTCCCAAGTGAGCCTTTGCGTGCTTGTCGTCGTATCCCTGGGATATTTTTCCATGCTTCACTGCTCTGCACGATTGATGGAGGCGAGGCTGCCGGTGCAAAGCAGAATCTTTGAGATGCTCGTAGTCTACAACATGGCCCAGCTGCTGTTCAACGCCTTTGTTTGCAGTCAGCTCCTGCGAGAGGCATATATGCAAGGCTTCACGCTTTGGGGCAACATCTTTATGTATACGAAGGAAAGCCATCGGCTCGG